ATCTTATGTAGGGGAGGAGTAATGTGGAACAGGCATACAGAACACCAGCACCGGTCCGGCAAGGAGACCTCAAGGGGGCAGGGACAAGGTGGCAAGACATAAAGGCCAGGCAAATATGGAAGAGCAAAAGACAGGATCAAAGATGTCTCTGCCTCTCCCATTTGTTATATGTCTGCCAAGGAGAAAAAACAAAAGCAGGAAACATGAGAAGCAAAAGGGGACCAGAAATCCACCGTGGCTATGGGCAGTTTGAGTTGTTGGTAACTCATTCAGGAAGAAATGCCAGAGGAGCTGAGAAAAATGCTGGTCTAGAGAGATGGTGGCAAGCTAGGAGGAAGGCAAAGGTCTGAGACATGGAGAGGAGATGGCAGTAAAAGCTGTGTAACTTGATGTGTGTGCCCAGACGGGGGACACAGCTGAGCTGAATAGGGGATTCCCAAGGAGGAAAAGAGACAACAGAGTGGCTGTGAGAAAGTGACAATAAAGAGCTGGAAATAACTGTGCTGTCAAGCCCCAGTCAAGAAAAAAGTATCAAGTGGCAAAGATTAAGTTACCAGTTCTAAACCAGGAAATTAAGATGAACACCAAGGCCCTAATAGACAATAAGACCTTGCCAGAAGGCAGCTGCTGAGACAGAGAGGAAGGACAGGAGAGGCATTGGAAGTTAAAGCAGAGAAAAAGGGTTTAATAAACCATACATGACAGCAGCCAAGGCCAGGCTTACTGCTGGCTTTGCCAGCAGCTGTAAGGTCACAGGCAGCCTTGTTTTAACAGTGTAGTGGCAACACAAGCTCATGCTGGGTGCATGCCTGACTCTTGCCCAGAGATCAGTGGCCAGGACAACTGCAGCCTACGCTGGTGTTTGGAGGTGTTTGTGCTGCTTTCAGCAGCCATGCTGCAAAAAGCTCCACGATAAGCACACTGGGGAGCACCATGCTACATTTACTGCGAGATCAAAGGGTGGCTGTGCTTTGTCATCACATTTGTCAACCAAAATATCATTATCATTACCAGGCTAACTCTAATCAGCCTCTGCTGAAGAGCCATCTGATCATCCAATAACATTAAAAATCTGTTTTGCTAGAGCATGCCAGCATCTGGCTAATGTGGACCCCTGTGTGTCATCTGAAGAGGAGTCTCAGGGAGGATACTCCCAGTGTGCCACAAGCCATGCTCCACTCCACTGGTGTTCCTGGCATGCTCAAGTCATTGGCAGCAATTTGCCTTTCTGCATGATGCTGGCAGACAAGGCTGAATGGAAAGGGACAACAGAGGTGCCTCTTGGACATTTTGGCCAAGCTGTTTTATTAGTGGAACAGAACTGGTGTGTTTATTCTTATCCTTGACAATTTCAAGAAACTTTTTTTAATGCTTGCTATGATATCATGGCACTGACAGATCCCGTTGGGGACATGCTCACAGCAATGTGACAACAAAAAAGCAAGGCCTGGCCTGGAGAATTTGCAACATGACTGAGATTAGAGACAGCAGACAGATACCAATGGCCAACAGATGAACAGCAGAAGAACAGGACGTCTAGGATCAGCATTGCAGCCTGGGTGGGAGGGAGTACTTTTGGTTGGTGCTTTATCTCAGGCTGCTCTCATTAGTGTTAACAGAGTGCATTCAGAGTGAAAGCCAAACCCTAGCAAAGACACTAGAAGGTCCCCAAGTGATAACTCCCCTTCTTTTAAAGATGAAGCAGGATAGTATGACATGTTTGCCTTAGACATGGTCTGGAAGGTACAGCAAATGCACTGAACAGTAATTGCAAACTTGCTGCTATATTTGTGCCCGGAGGCAAGTGTGTAAAATATTTTTTGCCTTCCAAAGCACTGACAACTGCAGCTGTTGTGGACTTCAATGGAAGATACAGCTCATCCGCAATCATTTAACACAGCATTTGTGTTAGAACTGCCCAAGGTGGGGTTCAGATAGGAGGCTTAGGATACCTGTCATTCCAGCATGGGTTTCCAGTGGAGGCAAAGCAGGGAGAAGGACAGGATAGCCCAAAGGAGATGCGAGAGAAAGAGGAGCAATAGGAAGAGCTGCAGATGAGAGGTCTGACAACAGAAACAGCATAATAGGTAAGCTCTGCAGTAACTGCAACAACACAAGCTGATAGAGCAGATGGTCACCTCAGTTTAGCCTTTAACATAGCTTGTCGTCCCTAGCAATATTTACCCAAAAGTACTCTACTGATGGAGATGGGATTATGTAACAGACAGAGGGAAATCAGTCCTATTTTATACAAGATAGAATCAGGCTGCCTATCAGCTCTGACAGTCCCTTCATGTACTGGCTTTAACTTGGGCAGAAAGAGCAATGTGATAATTTCTTTCTACCTTCAGATGGTGGAAACCAGGTAGCACTTTCCCAGTTTCCCAACTTTCTTGGAACTCTATTAACTCACTCCTCAAATCTGGAAGTGTTAAACTCCCTGTCCCAGAACTGAAATGACCGTCTGGGAACTGTCAGGACATTTTCATCAGCGCCATCAGTGCTGTGTCAGGATATTTTCATCAGCTCCTGGTCAATGCTGTTTGAGGTTAATTCTGACCTACTTCAGTAATTCTTCAGAAGTAAAAATTATTTCACTAGTTTTTGAAAAGCATTTAAAAGATCCTTCAGTGAAAAGTGAAAAATAGAGGCAAATACTGTTATTCTCATTTCCAAAATACTAGATACAGAACCACACTGAAACAGCAATATAGATATCCTGCAAAGGGGATTAACCACAATGGAAAGTGAAATTCTGCACGGAAAAGTGTCCCATATTTGAAAGATCTACAAGCATATGCATATCTCAGCTCAGACATTTAATAAATATTGTCTCAACTGCATGTTTACGTATTTTTATTAAAGAGCAAATTGCTTGTATTTCCTCCTCTTTCTTCTGCATTATAGCATTAAAGCAGGATAGCACGCCACACAACAGTATAAACAAACAGCATCACCAGATACTTAAGGGTTTTTAGCTCCTAAATTGACTAAAGCATAAATACAAACTGACGTCAAGCACTTGGGATTACCATTTAAAAAGTTGGTATTTTCTGAGACACTAATGAAGGACATTCATATCAGAAAATCCACTGGCTGCAAAATGAGAAATGAGCCATCCCGAGTAAAATGCGTTCCTGAGTAGGCATTTGTACTAATTCAGGTGCTGAAGTTGTATAGACAAATGGCAGCACACTCCGAGGACCAAGGTATTCTGCTTCTCAGCATGATTAATTTAGCAGGATGGAGCACAGCGCTGTATGGCTTTTAGTACCTATACTAGCTTAATGAGAATTAGCTTGCATATCCCTAGGTGACGTATTTTGCCACAAAGTTGTAAGTTGGGAATTGCCTAAAGAGAAAGAGGAATAGAGATTTAAAACGTTCCTTCTACTTCAGACTAAGGTCAAGCAATCATACGATTTGAGGCAAGCAGACAACATTTGAGTTGCTGCAGGTAGTGAAGATCTCAGTGGGAAAGCACAACTGTGTATTTGAGGAAGTAGTGCCATTGGACACAAAATAACCAGTGCATCCTCAGCCCCTCCCTAGGACTTCTATCAAAACAGCACCTTTTCCTTTGGCATCTGTGCTAGCTGCCCAGGGCCAATAATAGAGCAGGTACTGGGGGCACCACCTGTTTCTGTAACTTGCACTCTTGTTCACAAAGCAGTGAAACAAGTAGCCAAACCCTTGATGGAGCAAATCTTTGCCATCCTAGAGGTAAACCATTCCACATGGTACAGATTCACTGTCAGGCCTGTGGGAGACTTGCTAGTGATGAGCCAGAACTTGGAGCTCTTAAAATCAGTGTTCCTCCGCCCACTTCCCACTCCCAAGTGGAGACAGACCTGTGTTAGCGTAAAACCTTGAGTGGTGCCAAGGCTCTCCCAGTAGCAGCAGAGCTTGCTTTGTTCCCTGGGGCAGGAGGTGAAAGGAAGAGAAAGTCCCTTCCCCAGTGGCTGGCTCAGGACACTGCAAGGGGCATAAGGGAAGAGAGATTCAATTGAAGGCCATTTGCCAAAGAAGGACAACACTCATCCCTTCTCACCAGCTCTGTGATCTCACCTGGTCATTAGGTGCCAAAGCAGCTGGGTGAGGTGACACATATTACTAAGAGCTTCTGGTTTAGCGAGGAGCTGCACCAGAAGAGAAATTTCCTTCTACAAGAGGGGATGGACCAGAGGGATTTTGTAGCTGCTGATGTGCTGGAAGGAAGGGCAAGAGAATAGTCTCCCCTTCAGGTGGTTCAGCTGCAGTTTGCAGGCAGAAGGACTGGAGGAAAAGAACTCAGGTCTGCAAGCCTCCCCCTTGAATACAGGGCATATTGCATATATTCAGGGCCTAGGATAAACTAAAATAGAAAAACATTTGGTTTCAGTTCACATCTTAGTGGTGGCTCATGTTTTATTTACAGAAAGGGCAGAAGTTTCCGTGAGCAAAGAAATCCCCTTTCTTTCTGTGCAGGTTTTAGAAAACCAGTCAGCAGCAGAGCAATGCTACTGAACACAAGACTTCAGTCACCTGCCTCCTAATTCTCAAAACAGCTAAAGCCCTGCAGTCTTTTTTACCTTTTATAGTCACAGGAGTAGTCAAGCAAACCCTTGATTGGATTATTCTGCTTTAATTACAAAATGCGCTCAGACCAAAGGCAAAATAGTACCTGGTACATATGTACACATTTCTCTCAATTACAACACCAAAGACCAAAATGCCATCTGGTCCTGCTGTAAATCAAACATTTCCCTCTGGCAAGATATTTGGAGTATGAATAGACATCACAGTAATGCTTGAACTGCCTCTTGTGTGCAGAACACCAGACTCTGTGTTTATTTATCATGTACTTTGAGATCCTTTAGGGTGGACCATACAAGAGATAAGCAAGAGAACAGACACAAAACTGGAACCTTGGGGTAATTGGAGTCCATATCCCACCACCCCCTGGAAAAGAAAGGCAGAGATGGGTCACTCTCTCCTTGCTGCAGTTAGGACAAGGTAGATAAATCACAAGGTTTTTTTATTGCTGGTGAACTCAAAACAGGCAACTTTAATCTACTGAGGAAGATACACATACAACAAATGTTAGGCCTTGTGCGTTTTTTTCTTCTTAATGTAAATGTCTCTTCAACTTCAGTCCAGCTCCGAAGCTCTCACTGAGCTGCCACCAAGATCCTGGTACTGTGCTCTGGGCACTTCTGCAAGATGTTGTAAGAAGCATCACATGTATTAAAAAGGGAGATTTTGCAGAAAAGACAAAGCTCTGACTGCAGCCACGTTGCTCAGAACGGAGAAGTCTGGCTAATCCTGCTGCATTAGGTATGTGATATTATATATAATTAATTGATTTAAGAATTTGCTGGGTCCTTTTCTGTTTCTGGTGTGCAAGCTGCAAGTAAAGTGCACTTCTGGGTATAAATTACCACTCTATAAAGATGCAATAGCTGGGTGGTACACGTCAGACATCAGTGGAAAGCAGACAAAACAGCTGTTACAATGACACAGGCAAGAAGGATAAAACACTAAATACCAGATGCTGCTGGGAAACCCCTCCATAGTTTGAGCATCTAAATATTACCCCACTGAGCAAAACCAGTGTCATTTAGTTGGAACCTCCTAAAGAACAGACAATAACACACACATAGCTGTTATTGTGTACCAGGTTAGCTCTGTGGACAGCCACTCCTCCAAACCACATTGCTAACTCCTTTTAACCTTTCTAAAAATTTTCTAACAGCTAAGGAGAAAGCAGGGATCCTAAGGATGTTTCTATGAGGCTGAGGGTTTTACATGATGTGGGGGTGATGTAGGAGGCAGCACAACACCACGTTTAAGCTATGCTATGAGAGGACAACCCAGCTTTAGACACTGTGTTTGATAACCTTGACAGAACCAGGGCCAAAATGGTGAGATCCCATTCTCATCTGCACCTTGCAATTCTTGTTCTGCTCCAGTACAGCTCATCTACATTATTCCATGCACAAATCTCTTTTTTTTAACTCCATGTACAGTGTCAGGTGACTATTTTGCCTGGGCCTATATGCCTGAGACCAACACAGCTGATAAACTACATACTGTTCTTATTTCATAATACTGGCATCACAGCATCAGAAGAACTATCTGTTCAGTGTTTGTTCTCTTTTAATTTAATGAACTATAAAAAGGAGACTCTAAATACTCACCTAAGTATTCTCAGTGCTTCAGGAGACATTGCATACTCAGGGCAGATTTGATTAACTCCTTGCACCACTGTTTTTATGTGTCCATTGCCAGCAATGGATGCCACATGAGAAAGGGGAGGGAAGGAATAAAATAATTGCTCTCTATGTGATACAAAAAAGCATTAACACTGCGTTCATAAGAGCAGAACCAAGAAACAATTCAACTCACAGGACCAACAGTGCTTTTCCTCTCAGGAATGGCCACCAAAGGGCAAAAAGCAGGTTCACAGCTGAGCACCCCCTACCAGAGACAAGTGACCTACATATAAATAGCCCAACTATTTCCAAAACAAGAATGGAATCCTACAACACATTTGCATTTCAAGCCAAATTGATCCCTTGTACAGCTCTGCTGACTATGGTGGAAGAATACAAAAAATTAATCTGGCCCTACAGAGCAACTACAGCAAACCTTCCCCATAACCCAGGTTGGGAGTGAGACATATGACAGCTGGAAGCTCCGTGTTTGTTGCTAACTTCAGAAGCCAAGACTTGCCTGAGTGAATTGTGAACTTTTGGCTGCCATTATCAAAAACCTTCCCTGTACCACAATTGTCCTTGTACTCCATAGGTGTTCCCAATGGGTTAAATTTCAAACTGTTCCCAGTGCAGGTAGTTCCACAGTGAAGCCACAGCACTCCCTCCTGCTCCACCTCTCTCCCACTGTTCTTGTACCCTAACTCAAAAGTCTCATTCAGGCAGATCATGAAGAATTAAGTGCTCTTCAGAGAAGGCTTTTTTGCTTTCTTTTTTTTTTTTTTTTTAATAAATTTATCAGGCAGCATGGTATATCTCTTGCTGCCTCCAATTATTGTCATGACAATATGGTTGTGGTTATTTAAAGCAGAATTTGGGAAGAAAAAGCAAATCTACTTGATACACTGAGGAGAACACTGGGCAGAACTGAGCCAAGACCTGCCAGTGCTGAAGGAACATGAGAGTCAATGCCAGAGGAGCAAATCCCAGATACCATGTTAGCCACACGAAGGTTTTGACCTTCAAATACAATGGGCTGCAGCCAGCATAAGTCACCGACATTATCAGAAACAGAGGAATCCCTGGAAAGGAAGGCAGAAAATTCTTGTGGCCTGTATAGTCTCTACAAGGTTTGCATGGATGAGATGGGAGCTGGAATCTGAAGCAGACTGTCAGGCAAAGTCTGCTTTGGGAGTACAGAGGAGATGGGAAGACTTGCACTATTTCTTGCGCCTTTTGCCAAGATTCAGATTGCACAGATTATGGTAAAATTCACTTGGCAAAAAAGACCTTCATAAAAAAAAAAAAGAAAAAAAGAAAAAAAGAAAAAATTTCTAGTAAGTATCAGGACTGAGATTTCAAAAAGTACAAGATCTGTATAAATTCAGCAAGATGTCCAGCACCAATTATTTCATGGTGCAAAAAAGAACCTGGGGAGAGGCCAATGGGACCTGGTGAGGGGAACACCATCTACCTCCCCAGCAGACTGCCAGTCTTAGGTTCTTCTCAACAGCAGATGGATTTTCCTTGTTCCTGCAGCATCTCAGGTCCCACAGGAGGTATTGGTTGCAAGCAAGCACCTGAATATTGCCTAATGGAGTAAGCCAATCACTAACTCAGCTGGCGTGTCCATGACCATCAAATAATTAGGTGTTTTTCTTTTGGATGCATTTCTGATGTAGCATTTCTTTTTCTTCTTTCTCCACGTTAAAGTGTAAGCAAAAGGACTGCTTTCATCTGTAATAAGTTAAAATCAGAAATGACCTAACTAACAGGTAACTGATATTGGTCCTTGGAGCCCAAAGAGTAAAATCCATAGAAAATCTACTGGTTCCATTTTTTCTGGTATATCCCATGCACACCCCCATTAGAAAAATGGGGTTTATGAATCTTATCATACAGCAAGGAGCAGTACCTCGGAGCCAGAGCTGACAGTTTGTGGTAGCGGTCTGGGCTCTCCCAGATTGCTAAGTGTGATTCTAAGTCACTGCTCAATCTGTCTTCACGTGGCCATTGGCCAAGGCAACGGGGACGGTGGGGGCCCCCGGCTCAGCAGTCTCATCAAATCGTAAGCGCAGGGTGTTTCTGATCACCAGCTGTTCCATGATGAAAGAAGCACAAAACCATGGGATGGCATATTCCAGAGTGATCAGGCCCATGAAGTCAAAATCAAACTGGGAATAGTCCCACGGGCAGGCATTGAACTGTCGTAGGATGAGGCCAGTGGTGAACTCCCAGAGGTATGTCCAAAGTGTGTAAATGAAGCAGCGCACTAAAATGTTACACTTGTCTTTGAGATATAGATACATCTTCTCCACAATAAGGATGGAGGTGCCATAGATGAACAGTGCCCACACACTGGTAACGCCTGGGAACTTCCAGTTGAAGTTGACCACAAACTCCCAGGCAGCTGTGAACATCACCTCACAGAAATAGCCATGGATGGCATAGAGGTACCATCGGGAGAAAGCGGTCAGAGGTTCTGCCGCAGCCATTCTTCTGCACTCACCCCAGCAGCACTCTGAAATGAAGAGGGGGAGAGAGAGAGAGAGAGACGAGTCAACAAGGGTGTCACAAGTCCTTATCCCCCAGATGGCAACACAGAAACTCATAACACCCACAAAGGATAAATATGAGAAAAAAGTGATTTTTAAATTGTCTAATTTTTACTACAGCACATTTTAAGTCCTGGGGAAAGGTGGCACCGTATAGGACTCCATGACTCAGAATGGGCCTGAACAATGTAAACTGCTCTGCCTGAGAAATAGGATGACACTGGTAGTGCACCGGTGATAAGGAGGGAGTTGACAGGTACAGCAGCTTTCCAGGAGTGAGGCTGCCAAAGAATTTACTGGTTGCAAGTCAGCAGAAAAACACAGTCATCTCACAAGGAGCACATGCCACCTGTTTGCTCTTTTCAAGAAACAGCACTGTCCCTTACTTTTCTGATTCTAATATGGAATAGGTTAGATGAACACAACATTGAAAACCTGGGCCTTTCCAACTGTCCCCTACAGTCTCTATACCCAAAATGTCTGCTGTAGTGAAAAACGGAGCTTTGATGGGAGCTACAGCAAGGGAACTGGAGGAGAAAATTTCAGAGATTTTATACCTTCAGACACCACACCTTGCACCCATTATTCAGCTGAACTTTTATTTCGTCTGTTGAAGAACTCATGCACTGTATGGCTACCATTTGGAAAAAAATTTTCTTATGGTGTCAGACTGCCTGATACCAACTCAAAAAGCACAGGAGACCCATTGAAATCCATTCAGATTTGGCTTCAGGATAGCAAAACACAAAGGAGGAGAAAAAGAAAGAACAGCTGAGCCTAGAGAGAGGTAGTCATGATAAATAGGAAATAAGAACAAACTTTGCTGTCTATACAGGAAGAAACTTGGTGAAGAGGTTTTGAAAAGGCACAGTTTGCTTATGACTGAACTGTTTCAGCACAATTAGTTTTAGTTTTTGTAGAGATTTATAAGTCTTCTACGGTACAGTCACTGATACAAAGTGATTATAAGCATTATTTTACAGAAGCCTTACAGATTTACATTACAGGATGAATTTGACCTCTTTCATTCTTAGAAACGTTCACTTTCAAGTTGAGTTTCTCTTGACTCTTTATCAGGCACTATTTAACTTTGCTTGCATTTGTCAGTTCTGTGGCAAAATGTGCTAGGAAAGGACCACATTAACTTTATGTGCAGTCGTTCCATGCCATCTGGAAAGAGACTGTTCCCACCCTGCTCTCCAAATGCAGTGCCCCTCTGAACATGCAGTATGATTGAAATTCTAATAGGAGATGAAATAAGAGAAACTTCTATAGGGGAAAAAGGAACTATAATAATGAACATAGAGAAGATATGCACAGGGGAATATCGAAAGTGGAAAGGACAGAGCTATATCCATGACCTGTTCACTTCTTTCTTAAATGGACACACAACCAACCAAAGCCTTGGCAGTTCATACGATGTGGATGCTTGAACAAAGACCCATTTTCTAAAGGCACAATCCATTTTACACAGGACACTGATCCATCAGCAGATGCTACAGATATAGGTCAACAGCACAGTGTGAGTTTTTAGGTGAAAGACTAATGAATCGCCAAGGATTCCCTTATGTCTCCTAACAGTTCAGTTCCAAGAGACCTGGCAAGACAGCAGAGGAATAGCACATGAGAAATATACAGGAGGTGTATGTCCACAAAGTCCACAAGAAGCTGATGTGTAAGGGCACTGCCAACTGAAGAGAATGAGTTTGTCAGTGTAATGTTACTTGGTTAATTTGGCCAGCACAGTTGTTAAGCTTAAGAGTTTGAGTCTTCATATCATTCCTCCATTCTCAAGTAATTTCAAGAACAAATCAAAAGTGAGAGGTACAGAGTTAGAGGAAAGCAGTAAGAAGGCACTCTGGTTTAACACCAGCCAGCAACTAAGTGCCACACAACCACTCAGTCACTGCTCTTTAATGAGATGGGGAAGAGAATCAGGGGAAAAAACAGTGAAACTCATGGGTTGAGATAAGAACAGTTTAGTAATTCAAAGTAAAATGTAATACTAATGTAATACATGTCATTCTCCAGAGAAGAAAATTATTGTAAAGATTTTACCAAGCTGCCAAGGGATTGTATAGTTTTCCTCTCTTTTGTGTAAGGCTTCCTAACTTTTTTGCTTGCAGTCTTTAGTCGTTGTACTTCACTCTACAGCTTTACATGAAATGTATTTGAACTGTTAGCTGGGAGTATTCACAGCATGCCATGCTATCTCTTTAATGTTTTCCTTGTAATTTTTAAAATCTCTTCAAAAAGTTGAATCAAATGCACAGAAGGTCCTTCCGTCTCAGTCCCTCCCTTCGTGTTCCAAGGATCACCTCACCAATTATTTCCATTACCTTACACCTCCCTATAAAATCCAAAGATTCATAGAAACATAGTCAACAATCCACATCTGGTTCTACCCCACATTATTTCCTCTGTTCAATGAAGATTTCTCTTTCCTAGGTCTATACCCCATACTTAATAAAAACCTATTTATTCTCTGTTTCTTTTTTACTGTTTGCAAAATATCTAGTCACTGCACTAGAAGTCTTTAGTAACTGAGTCTAGATCAGGTCTGGGACATCTACAGTAAAAATTAACCAATTGCAAAGACCAGTGTTGACTTCTTTTGAATTCCATGGCTTTCACCACAACTGCAGAGGCAAACAAAAATGCACTGGCATTGTCTCAGTATTTGCCTTCTGTCATGTGCCCAGTTGGCCCAATTTCAATGGTAACTTCCTTCTTACAGTATGCTTGAAAGACTCCTCAAAGGCATCCTGGTGATTAAGAGCATCCCAAGAAAGGGCAGATGCCAAACTGTGGCAGTCCAAACATAAACTGGTTCCACTGTGCTAAGCACTAAGCAAATCCACAGATCACAGTTCCTCCTGTAAAATATTTCATCCAAAACAAAACAAAAAGTACATAGGAAGACATAGAAGGGAATGGAGGATACACTTACGGGGGCTACCACAAGCCACAGCACATCACTGCATAAGCTGGGGACTATACAGTTTAATGGTTACAAGTCACTTGAGTATTTACAAAACAATTAAAACTGCAGCTTTTCCAAAGCAACTTATTTCCCAGCCACACCAAACTGTTTGGTGTCTGATAGGCAATACTACATAAGAAGGTCTCACGAAGGATGTAAAGGAGAAAAGTGTCGTTTACTGGGCAGCAATTCAAGATGAAAGGATCAAGCTGAAAAGCAGTTGCATGATATTTAGTGGGAGAAGCACCCAAACAGAAGGCCAAGATTGGATTCAGTAAGAAATGCAGATTTTTGAAAAGCCTCAAGTAGGTAACTGAACTTGGTGACGCAAGACTTAATGGAGTGACAGTAATACTGACCAAAAGCCTCTGAATGCAGGATCGCTATTCAGTCTCCTGAGGAAAACAAATGACATTTATCACTGAGGTACTTACAGGGGGATGGGCAACGGCTTCCTGAAAACCAGAAACACAGCTGCCACCTACGCTACTGTCTCAGCAGAGAGCACACAAGTCATGAAGACTGCACACGGATGGCCACGCTTGCACTGAGGTTTCTCACACTGCTGTTTTGGGAAAAATAGGGAGATTCTAAATTCAAAGCTTTGAAAATGCTTTCCGTTATCAGCAAATTATATTTTAAATAGCTAAAGTAGAAACAGATCCTCTAACACGATGTTATCAGGAAGCCTGAGCTAGGCCAGCACAAGATTTTCCCCTCTTTCTCTAGCAGGGCCTTCTTTTCTAGCTTGCTCAGAGAAGAAAAAAAGGCAAGTCTATGGAAACCACACATGGGCTGTCTCTGAGGAACACACAGTCCTTCCCCCCAGTTGCCCTGTCTGTGTGGATAACTCTGCTGGAAACAAAGGGGGAAGTATATAAAGGACTGAGTTTATCTCAGAAATCTAGTTCAGAGGATGAAGTTGCAGAGTGCCTCCTCAGCAGTTTGCTGATGACAAAAAGCTGGTGAGAGTGGGTGATACCCCAGAGTGCTGTGCAGCCCTTCAAAAGGATCCTGACAGGCTGAAGAGATGGGCAGAGAAGAGCTGTCTGAAATTCAACAAAGACAAATGCAGGGTCCTGCACCTGAAGAAGAATAACCCCATGCAAGGACAAGAAGCAACAGATAGAAACTGATGCACAGGAAGTTCCACCTGAATATGAGGAAGAACATTACTGTTTTGAGTGACTGTGCACAGGAAGAGATTGCCCAGAGGAGTTGTGGAGTCTTCCTCACTGGAGACACTCAGCATGTCTGGACACCACCCTGTGCGATGTGCTCTAGGATGACCCTGCTTGAGCAGCAAGGTTGGACCAGATGACCCACTGTGGTCCCTTCCAACCTTATCCACTCTGTGAATCTGTGATCAGGGCAGGAGTTTGACTTACAGCCATAAGACATTAAACAGCACCAAGATTACACTTTTGTATTTTAGAATTTCAACTCTGAAATGGATATTAATAATCCCCTACGTTGAGGTAAGATACAGATAAGCCTGATGCACCAGACCAAGCAAGGAAAAAGGACTTACATTCCAGACTGCCCCACTTCACATGTGGGACTCTTCTGTGCAAGGGGAAGCACCTCCATACTCACATCTGGTTTTGGAGGTGATGCAGCCCAGGCAGGCAAGAGGGAAGTGATTGGAAAATGGACTGACCGTAGACCAAGAAATAACGGCACATTTGTCTCACACAAGCACTGCAGGGGAGACATCAGTGGATGTCCTATTCATGCCTGATTAAGTTCTTGAGCACTGCCTGGCTCATTTTTTTTCAATGCTCTCCTTTGCAGTGGCTTTCTGCCCGTTTCCCTCCTACCAAGCCAAACTGCTTAAAAAGAAGTCTCTCACAGATCGTCCTTATTCCCTCTAATCCAGCAGAATTATTTAGACTCACAGCCTCTGGATGGGTGTAATGAGACCTCATCAAGAAATTCTGAATTAACTCTGAAGGGCTAATAAAAGAAAAACACAAACAAAAA